CAGGAAATGGGTGGCTGTGAGACGAACCTGGCCCATTATGGACAGCCTTTTGGTAGCTTCTTTTTGTGTTATTCTTCTTACTCTTTTTTAATACCCATCTTACCATCCGTTTCCTAGAATCATGGACCATTATCAGTAACAGGAATTGCTGAATTTTCTGCAATATCTCCACAAATCCTCCCCCCATCCATATTTCTCTGTTGTAATGCTAGAGCAGATTGTGTGGCATGATTTTAGCTGATTGGAAATCGAATCATGTATCCAATCTGTCTTCTTTCTGTTCCTATTGTCGTGATTGGTGCATAGCCACTGTGTGGGTTGTTCGACAACTTTGGCAAACATGTCTGTCTATACTATTGGGAAGAGCTAACAGCCCTGTGTCTTTCTTCCCTCTGCGCCTTTTGGCTTCTCTCTTCCCTGCTCTAGAGGAATCACAGAAGACAGCATGTTGGCCATCTTCATCCACCCTGTTCCATGAGGACCCTCTGAAACACAAATCGTGTTGACTTATCCTGACCCCCTGGACTCCGCTCTTTCCAGGAATCTCCCACGTTTGTTCTTATTGATTGCAGCTATCATATACATTCCACCAATCCCCCCAAACGCCCCAGTGGATTCCTATGATAACATTTAATTGGTAATGAAACAAGTAAAACTTAGATGGTTGTGACTGACATTAATGCATAATTCATTTTATGACCATTAAAGAAAAATAAAAAAAAAAAACCTTTCATAGTAAGGCGATAAAGAGCAGTAACTGTAGTTGTTATATGCTTCTTTGCAAAATCCAACTTGTTAGTGTCAAGCCATATTTCTTGAAACCAATACTCCAGTCATAATGTCCTTATTCAGATGTTAACTAAGGGATCTTACAGAAGTGTTTCAAGGTTTGTGTGTTTAGGAGGAGAGGTTAGAGATTTCTTATCTTCATTTTGCAAATGAAACTATTTTCTTCTTTTCAGATGAGAATCAGTATAATAAATGATGTGAAATATAAAGAGGCGCCAATGCATGATCTTGTGGATTTATACCTCGGTTATCAGGTCGTTTTGAAAATTGAGCTCTTTAGAAGCATTGAAATTTGGAGGTTGAGGAGTTTGTGAATATGAGGGCTTCTCTTAAGTGCTGAGTTGACCTCTTGGCCTAATGGCACCTTTGCCACCCATGTGATTTTTCCAGTATTCATCTGTCAGATTTCTTTTTTTTTCTTTTTTGCGCGCAATGCTGAGTCCGGTGACCACCTTGTATAGAGCAAGGGTATATCTATTTGCAGTAGTAACATAATGCCTTGATCCTTTTCTTATTCTTTCTTAAAAAACTTCTCTCTCCAACTTATGTTGTAAAACAACTCATCTCATCTTTTTACCTTGTTTTCCTCTCCAGCCTGGTCCTTACATTGTAATTTGTATTTCCTTAGCTGAAGTGTGAAATGCAATGGAATAGCAGATTTACTTTTAGTTAATTTTGCTACAGAATATAGATGTTTTTAGATCCTGGATTTTCATCTTTATTATTATTTTATTGCTGTTACATTCTGTTGAATCAGCTGTGAGATGTTAATTGAAAATGCAGGTGGCATCCAAAAAGAAAAGTGTAGCAGATGAAGCTGCAGTAATCTTGCAGGCAAAATTGAGGCAGTTGGCACCTTCAACATAGGATTCCATGCGCGGTTTCTACTTAACTGAAAATTGAATTTCAAATCATTGTAGAACAGCACTACCAAAATTATAACTCTCTTTCCACTTTTTTGTTTGAGTCAGGAAGATTTTATTTTCCCATCTGAATTATGCGTTCAAGTGAGTATATTTAAACGTCAGAGAGGTAATTTTTTTCTGGTACATAATTGGGGCATGCTTTTTATGTTCATTACTCCAAAATTTTCCTTTGTCTATACATTAGGACAAAGGAATAGCAATTTTGATTAAACGCCAGCAGTAATTACTAGCAGTTGGGACATAAACATGTTGATATTCCATGTAATATTTAACATGGAAAAGGTTATTTTGTTATTTAATCAATGTAAAATTTGATAGTACGTGATCCATGTAGAATTTAGAACACAGAGGTGTACCATGCGGCACATGCAGAAACATATGGTAGGCAATTTTTGCTTTTGCCAGATGACCGTCAAAGTAACAGGAGCCTGGCATTTCAAAATCCCAAGTAGAAGTAAACGATTCTGTATGCTCAAAACTCAGAAATTCCAAAAACCAAATAGGAAGTACAATTATTTCCTAATCTTTTAGATGTTATAAAAAATATTTCTGAAACAACAATTCCCCTACTTTTTATTATGTTACATATAAAGTCAGACATAGCATTTATATTTTTAGTAGAATCGAAAAATTGCTGCATCAAAATCTTCACTCTTGCAATTATCTGGTTCATCGTTGCCATGAAACACCTAGGTTCATCGTCTGCTTCTCTCTTCATTTTTCATATTTTAATATTTTCTAATCTTACAATATCACAAGCTTTGTCGTGAATTAGCCCAAGGAAAAACTTTTTGTGCTTGTCATTTATGTGTTCTTTTTTAGTTTAATGTTGAGGTAACATAAAACAAAAGTAGTTTGGAGGAAAAAATGTACATTTTCTACTTTATTTTCCTAATTTAAATAACATGAAAGAATTGATCAAGAAATTAGATTTTGATTTCTTTTCTATTTCCGGTGCATCTTCCAACTATTTTGGCTGTAAAAAATAGATTTAAAAATATCATAAAGGAATTTTGCGCTCTTATTTAGACTAGCCATCCCGGAAAGAAGTCTGCCACACAAACAACATTACCTTTAATTTTATAGTCCACAAGCATAACTAGTGAGGTACAAAAAGAAGAGAATAGAAGGCAAAATATACATGCAGCCAGCAAATAACATAGTTTGAATGTCGCAGCTGGTTGCCCTTCATGAGACAACAGAGCAATTCATAGATATTAAGGAGAAGGATTGTCCCTACTGTTTACCAGTCGAGAAATGAAGCTCGAATTGCGAGTCCTGTAGGGGTAGCTTGCACATAGTCTTTCGAAATATGATTCTTTCAATCCATTTCTTCGTGCAATTTCAGAGCGGACCCATTTTGAACAATTCCCAGGTGCACCAGTAACTATGACAGCAGTTCTTTCTGTGGCCAAATTAGCCAAGGCCACCATCACCTCTGGCTCAGTAGCTGATGAGGCATCCACCAAGAAGATATGACTGAAATGCCCAGCAGTAATTCCTTCGTGATGTAGCCGAAAGCTACTCACAAATGTTGAAAATATTATCCGGTACTTCCGGAATTCCTGGATGGAAGGACAAGTAAAACATTCCCCTTTGTAAAGACACGAGGGCAGGATGTCCAGAGGTACCCCATCGATCTCTCTGAATGCAGCATTGGCTCGAAACATGTCTGACTCAGGGATTTTCTTCTTCAAGCTACTCATTAGTTCATCACAAGTGTTATTTATAGGCGCACATACAAGTATATGATGCTTGGGATTCTGTTTGTAAAGTTGAAATATCACCTCTTGAACAACAATTCCTGTTTGTGAAAGCTTTGAATCTGTTACACACAGTGGACCCTCTACAAGATAAGGTGGTGAACCCTGGAAGTCCAAAATCTGATGAACTGTGGACTTCTGATCAAGATCAAGTTTATAGTTGCATAGAATGTACGGAGCAGAACTAGCTATACGCTTATGGGAAACACTATCGGGGAAAATGAAGCTCTGAAATGAAGGATCTGATGCAGCTGCAATGGCCTGATGAGCCCTCTTTAGACAGACTCTGTTGAAAGAGAAGCTAATGTCATACTTGCATGTTGGATGGTGCTGAGAATGAAAATCATCTCCAAATTCAACTAATACTGTTGTGCTCCTCACGACACGATGTACCAAACCCTGATTAACATTCAAGAAAATGAGTAGATCTGTAGATCTCCAAAAGTTTCAAGATGCCATGATGAATATATAATGCTCAATTGCGATATTCGCTCCTGTCTAATATCCGCAAAAATGTAAAATGATTCAACAATCCGGCTTGACTAAGATTTACTCTAGTGCCAGTTAGGATTAAATGCAGATCGCTTAACTAAAACTTATTCTAGTACCAGTTAGGATCAAATGCATTAATGATGCTTTGTCACATTACTAACGATCAAATTATGAGCACTGAAATACTGAATCTGAAGTTCTTCAACCACAGTGTAACAAATTAATATTTTGTCCTAAAATTCAAATAGATTAAGTGTTAGGATGCTGACCCTAAATGGCTCAAGTTTCCTGCCTGAAGGTTGTGCAAAGACAAAATCCCTCGATAAGAGAAATGGTCGCCTTTCAGGGACTGAATCAACCTCAAACGCTACAAATATCTTTTTCTCCTTTTCCTTATTTTCAGATGTTTGTCGGTTCTTGCCTGACCTCTTATAGACTGATACTACTTCTAACTTCAATTTCACATTCTCCAACTGGAATTTGCACCATTTCTGTCCGGATAAAAGCATCAAATGTTAGGAACATAAGAAGAAAAAAACACATTTTCATAAGGTTATTAAAGAAGAAGGAAGAAATTATGTAATTAGTAAAATACTTGTACATGTGATAGTGTATATGTGTTGTTTATGGGTTTGTTAGATTGATTGACATTTCCAGTTAAAATGCCAGGCTAATGAACTCTACAAGCAAGTTTCATGAGCAATGATTGATTAATCACTAAAGATTCAGTTGAACTTATGGTCAATATCAATTTAGAGAAAGGTAGAGCTTTCACCCGTACCTCAATGTAGTAGTCTTCAGCATATAGCAGAGCAGAAAAATAATCACTGTATGTTGATGGAGACAATGGATGTTCCAGAACTCCAGGCACAATATCCTTCTTAATCAAGTCTATTATATTCTTAGGAATCATGTAAGTTGGCGATGCTCCAACCAAAATGTAGCTATCCTTGTTACTTGATTTAGATGAAGCACGAGATAGAGTTGGTTTCAACGACGGAAGGGGCTTAGTTGAAGGAGAAGGGAGCTCAGAATGAGATGGTGCTGATGGGTTCAAAAAAGACTTTGTGGGTTTAACATATGGCAAAGAAGAGGATGGAGTCTGTGATGAAGAATTAGGTGGCATAGACGACCGAGGTGAGTACGTGGTATATGAACTAGAAGTTGTTGAGCTCTGACGCACTTCATTAGTTCTTTCCACTGTGTTAAGACGTGAGGGGGAACTAGTCGTGCTTGGACCTAAAACTGACCTGCTCTGAACTAATCGACCTGGAGATGCGGCGGGTCTTGCCTTGCTACTTGTAAGGAGAGGAGATGAAATTGTGTTAGTAGAATGATAACTTTGTGTCCTTGACATTGACTCAGATTGCAACAAATGGTATCTAGAAGCAAAGCTATTCCCTGCAAAAGTCCCAAAAAAGCGAGACGCCCTGGGAGGATCTCTCCAATCATCATTGTCACCATGATGCTGATCTTCTTCACAACAAAGAATACATTTCAGGATTTCTAGAAACACAGACATTATATCCTTTTCCTATCAACCTGCGATTACTTCTGCACAATAGAGCAACAAAAATCTCCACCGGATCAGTCACGTAGTATTGTTTGTAAACAACTAAAAGCTTCATGCATTTGATCCATAAATATGATTATGAAAATAGATGCCTTTGCTCAGGTTTCATTAAAAAACAACATGACACCGTGTTTAGCACAAATAAAATTTTAGAAAAGAATGTGGAGTTCATCTGCAAATTATCAAGTTTATTTGCTCCAAACATAAGCTTAATTCATAAAACTCATTTGATACATAAACACATATATGCAAAAGATTTTCACAGGATACGGAGCTTGATGCTCTATTTCATAGAAAAGGAAATTGCATGCAAGTAACAATTTCTCGATATCAACTGTAATATCAGAGAGCACATAATATAAAATTGACATTACAGTTTTTGTGTGACTAAAAAAGAGGAAGGTCTGATATCCATAGAAGACGGAATTTCCGTAGAGAAGATAACGGTAGCAGAAGAATCTAACCTTTTCCCAGCTACCAAACAAAGGAGATGACCTTGCAGTGTAGATGAAGAAGACGACCAGGAAAGAGAGGCGCATAGCAAATCAATGAAGAAAAAATAAAAAGAAAACTAGTAAGCATCAGTATGATAGAAGAAAAAGATGGAAACGAAGGCAGATTCGGGGAAGAACTGTAAGTCAACTGTGGGAGTCTGCAACCTTGAATCCACTTTCGGGAAGAAGGGAAAGCAGAAATCTATATCTCACAGTGAATCAGAATTTTGAAGAAGAAAAAGGAGAGCTCTGTATGATTTTTAAAGCGGGTCCCATGGACGACTAAGAAGACTTTTGAGAGATATACAGGAAATATAATTAATATATTATCATCTTGTGAATTAAGATACCATTTTGATCATTGAGTGAATCCGAAACACTATATCCGAAGTAATATACGCTTAATACTGAGGATCTAATATGGAGATATTGTGGAAGCATCGACTAGCAATCTCATCTGTGACTGCCATTGAAATTGGATAATTGACTTGGGAATCACCAACTCCATGGCAACCAAACTCCAAAACATTTGAGGATGGGCTTGACATACTGGTATTAAAAGGCTCATCTTGGACGTTGATACCCTCCATTTCAAAGACCTTCTTTGACCTCAAATAAATGAAATGGCATGAAGGTCAACTTTTCTTTTCTACATTTTTATTTTCTTCGAGGGGATTTAAGCATGGGGGTGAGTCTTGTCTACCCTTTCCTTGCCAGTTAATTAATTAAGAACGAATCATCTCCCTTCATTTCTTCATCACCATAAAAATCTTCCTCTACACTGTGCCGCTTTCTTTTCTTTAAGGGGAAAGTACGTGCCATGGGATATTTGTAGCAGCCCCGTAAATTTAAAATGGAAATTATATTATAAATATCAAATGCGGAAGTGAAGTCAGAATTTGAATAACATCCCTTACACTAAAACCAAAAAAACGTGCTCACAAAATATAAAGGATTAAACTACCTAAAGTAGAAACTTGAAAGTAAAAAAAAAAACTACGAATGTGACTAGGGAGTCTTTAGGCGTCCCCTTCGTCGTCCTCCTGCGGAACCGGCTCAGGAACGATGTCCTCTTGATCTGAAATGATTAAATAAGGAATGAGTTACACTATCCCAGTAAAAACATCACGATATCTCACCGTCACGGAGGTAAAGGTGGGTAGAAAACACAAAAATACCAATGGAGCATAATTTACAACAAAACCTTTTTATTAATAATAAAACATTTACCATCCACTTACCTCGTTGGAATTTATAAAATAATATACGAAAGCAATAACATTATCATAATCTTGGAATCATATAAACAGTAAAACATAACACTTATCACGCCTTTTGTAATTCAATCATTATACAACATATCTTTTCCTCATTTACCAGCCCACTAGTATCCATGGGGATCCATAGGGGTCCCGCTACCCGTTAATCCTTAACACTTGAAATCCATTCCAGGGCCGTCCCCATACCCCGTCCGGTATGGGCGCCAAACCATAGACCTCATTACCCCGTCCGGTATGAGGGTGAAACGGGCCGTCCCCATACCCCGTCCGGTATGGGCGCCAAAACACATAAGATCTCCATACCCCGTCCGGTATGGGAGACCACAATCCCGGTAGGGTTCCCTACGGACTCGGTCCGTCCACCATCTCCCAGGATATCTAGTCAGGCTGACCACATTATACCATTACCCATTTACATAATTTTTTATTCTCTTTTTCCTCAGTCAGCATCATTAATCCACATACAAGCAAGCAAACAGTAATTTATGCTAAACAGACAACATACAGTATCAATATCCCGGTCATTTAATCCATAATCAATAAAACAGCAAAATATGCACACGAAACTATAAAATGAAAACATCGAACCTCATGCTGCATTTAAAACTGTAAAATAGGCCAAATAATAGTTAACCGACAAATACACTAAACTTGGGCTCCATTAGCGACCTTGAGCAATTTCACACATTCGTTGATTCATGAAATACCGTTTTATCATTTATTGAACTTTAAAACCGTGATAGGAAATAAGGTGAGGGGTCCTTACACGTTTCGGGGTCCGAACACGGCTTCACAGTGCGCTTGCAGGCTGTCCCTAATTTTCCCTGAATTTTTCCCGGGGAACTGAAACGTGTTCCAAAAAATCCCAAATTAGGCCCAAGGCCCCTTTCGGCCAATATCGCAACTTCGGCACGGCGGCTCCGCCGTGCTCCGGTGACGGCGTCGCCGCTTGCGGCAGCGGTTTGCCTCGGGTTGGCCGTTTTCGGCCACGCTCGCATTGGTTCCTGCGATAAAACAACCCTACGGCCCTTGGGGGGCCGAAAATTTACGAAAAACCAAAGCTTACCGGCAGCGGTGCTCACGGGTGCGGCGGCTCTCTGATGAAGTTCGTGTTTTGGTGATTCGGCTCCGATCAACCTATAGAGAAAAGAGTGGTGATCACGGTAATATAAAAATTGCATTAAACGGAGGCCGGGAAGGGCCTCATCGGAGGCAAAAATCGAGAAGGGGTGCGGCGGCGCCGCTGGCTTTCGGCCGTGTTTTTCGGCCGTTTGGTCAGGATTTTGGCTCCGATTTGGCCACTGGGGAAATCATCGTGGAAAAACGAGTCGGGGGTATGAAATTTACCTCGATCGGCGGTCGAAAATCCCTCCGGTGCGGCGGCGGGTGGCGGCGGCCGGCTTCTGGTTCGTCTTCTCCGGCGAGGGCAGGCGGCAAGGGTTTGGGGTCTGGTGTGGGGGTCTTATTTATACCATTTTGCCTTTTGATCTCAGCCGTCCATTTTGATTTAATCTGGGCCGTCCGTTTTTGATTAAATCTGGGCCGTCAGTGCGATTAAATCTGGACCGTCCGTGCGCGCGATTGATCTGGGCCGTCCGATCGTGCGCACGCGGATCGCCAACGTGGCCCGTCCCCGGTCGACGTGGTTTTGCCACGTGGCAGGTCCTGGTTGGCCAGGACCGCTGACTGGGTCTGCTGACGTGGCTGCTGACGTGGCCCGCGCGTTTTTTTTTTTTTTTTCTTCTTCTTCAATTTCCCCGGGCGCTACAATATTTGTTTAAATGAACTTCATTGTTGTTTGTTGATATACTCATTCAGATGCTTTTTATGTTGCTTCTTTGTTAAGGATTTTTGATATCAAAAGAGGAAGAGGAAGAAGAAGAAATTTTTGTTTTCCTTTCGGACCGGTCTGAACCGGTCCAAATAAAAAGAAAATACGATGTTATTTGAAGTTGGATTCAATTAATATGTTAATAAATTTAATAATGATTCTAAGTTAGAAAATAATTAAATTAAAATTTTAATTTAACTAAAAAAAACTAATTTGAATACAAATAAGTTATAGGATTCGGGCTTCCTAGTTCTTAGGATTTGGTACCAAACGGCACCGTTTGAACAGGCAGGGATTGTATTTTGCTGCTTTATTCGTCTCTGTAAAACAACCGAACAGGGCAACTCCGGTGATGAAAGGGGAGAGCTCAGAGGAAGCCTCCAGTAAACGGGCCTTCGGCTATGGTTCTTGAAATCTTCGGGGGAAAAAGTATTTTGTTGCAACCGAATAAGGAACAACGAGGGGCTTCGGCTTCAGGAATCCGCTTCTGGAACCGAGAGCGAGGAAGCCTCTGGAATGCACGAGAAATGGAACGAACTGGAAAAAGGAAGAACCTCAGAATAAAGGGGGATTGAGAAGAACGTACGGTGACAAGAACAAACACAGGCTTCTGCTGGAGTATCTGCGGAGCGTCTGGAGGAGGTCCAGAAAGGCAAACCGAGAAGCATCTTGAAGCAGTGACAACGGCAAATGAGGCAGGTTACAAAGGCTTGGAGCACGGCAAGAAGGAAGCCGAGATTTGATATGCGGAAGCTACAGTGAGAAGAAAGAAACAGAGGAGAGATAGTTATAGAGGGGTAAACCAGTGAAGAAGGCCATAAATCACAACAAGGAAATCGATGACAGACTGAATTCCCCTTTGAGAACAGTATATTCGGCCCCCTTTACTTTTGTGGAGTTTAATTGTGCATCCGAACGTATAATATATGTATGTACATATATGTACATACATACATATAATTTTCCATTTTACGGTGTACCTGCTGAAAAACAAGGAAGTTGATGTTTCTGAGATATCCTTGCTAATTTTGATTCAAATATGTTTTTCCCTTCTTGCTTTCTTGATGTTGGATAAGAAATCTATGAAAATCTTTTTGTTGTAGAGTTGAATGGGCAGAGGGAAAGAATTCTTATTTGTCACACTTGTATGGCTTAAAATTTTGGGTTTATAACGGTTACTGATTTCACATTTTCATGTTAATTGGATGGATGTCTTCCAATGCTCTGCGATTGATGAAAGTTTAGTTCCAGTACTTGTATCCACTGCTTGGGATTTAATTCTGTCCAACTTTCAATTTATGAACTTTGAGAATACGCTCGGGCAAAAGGGTTATATTTTACAGGTGTTTGTTACTCAGAACTACTTTAGTTTGATTTTTATTTATCAGAGTTCTACTACTAAGTTTTTGGATTATGTTCCTATTCAATGTTCATCCTTCAATCATTATTCCTGTTAGTTTTTTTTTTTCCTTGTGTTTTGCTTGATTTGATTTGGTGCTTATGGTTCAAGGAATGAATCTGTTAGGTTCCAGTCAGAACCAAGAAGAATAGGAAATGAATTTGCTTCTATTTAGAGCTAAAATTACCACAGAATATTGCTGTAAAAAATCATCTACTTTATTCATAATCTGGGGAGCTTAAATAGAAAAAAATTACAACTAACGTTTCCTGTTATCCAGGAGCATAGCAGGTAGTGGTGGAAAGATAGTGATTCTAACATAAATAAGAGATAACAAAAAATCAGAAAAGAAGATGCTAACTTGACCGCTTCTTGCAGAGTTGCGGCGTGTTTAATTTCCCATGTTTTCTATGTTGGCGATGTCGAAATATCTGGGATTCTTCACTGGTGTTCTTAGAGATCTTCTTATCCTATCAGTGCCCCCCTCTTTTAGTGGAACCTTGTCCTCAAGGTTCAGAGGAACGGACTTTTCTTGTAATTCGAGGTTGTTTTCCTAGGTGGCCTTCTCTAGAGGCAGATGTTTCCATTTTACCAGACTTCCTTCAACAATTTAGATCCTCTTTTGATCCATCTGGAATCCAAAATAGTTTCTGGTTGCAGCAAGATGTCACCCTCTTTGTTGCTGGCAGGCAGGTCTTCAATGGGGGAAATTAAATCACCAGCCTTCTTTTTTAACATTGAAACGTGAAACACTGAGTGAATACGAGAGCCGTTGGGTAGTTGTAATTTGTAAGCAATTGTGCCGATGCGTTGGAGGATCTTATACAGACTATAGAAGCGGCATGCTAACTTTTGGAAAGCTCTCTTGAAAGTTGTTTGTTGTCAATATAGCTGAAGTTTAAGAAATACCCAATCGCCTACCTGAAATTCAAGGTCTCTTTGTTTGGCATTAACAGTTTGCTGCATTCTATGGTTTGCTGTTTGCAAGTTTGCTTTAAGTTGTCAAAGAAGGGCATCTCTGGTATGTAGCTACTGGTCTACCTCGTCAACAAAAGTGGAGCCATCTTGATAACGAGGAATGGTTGG